TGTATGCAGAGGGGAGAAACCAGAAAACCATTTGATTTGCTGTAATAAACTAGAACAGGGGTAGTCCTTTGATTTGGGAGTCTCAGTATATTAAATTTCCTTTTCATAACAGACTCACTCTGGAAAATTTATAAAATTGCACATTTCTCTCAGAAGTAAATATTTAAGAAGTTTTAAAAATATATGGAGAGATCTATAGTACTAAGATCAATATGGAAGCAGTAAGGATCTTCTTGCCTTTTTACATGTTGGGTGACAGTAGGGGTGTCCCTTAATTCAAATATGCAATTTATCTTCCTTCCACAATACAAAGTACCCCAAAAACTATGTGCATACAGAATAATTTCATGGTAAAACAGAAACGGCAAGTTGGAGAGGAATGTATGTAAAATGTATGCAAAACATGTAAAATTGGTCTTTGGAAAAACAGTCCAGATTTCCAGAAGTAAAGGCTGACTTGGGTTGATCATTTTACTTTTTTGTATCCTCAGTATAGAAGACTTCCCATTCGTTAAGGATGTTCTTCTGCAATATAACTGCAGTTAACAAAGGGAAACATTGAGTTGGATGTAAAGCATACTTTTCACAGCCTCATAAATGAGTGAGGATGCTCCTGCCTAGAGATGAGGATGATTCCATAAGAAGGAATTATAATACTGAATTAACTAAGTAATACAGATACTGAATACATCAGAGGAAGGTTCGAGTACCTCATTTAAAATAAAGCCAAAGTTCAAATGGCTTACATCTAAAAAAATGAAACAGAAAGCTGTCCTAAGCCTAAGGAAGAAAGAGAAGTTAAATATGTCTCAAAATCAGATTTGTCAGCATCTGCAACTGAGCTTTTCTCCAAATAATTTACGCCATTCCAATATACAACATAAAAAGGTCCCTGAGAGAAAACGAAACAAAACAAAACCAAAACCCAAGAAGTCTTAAATCCATGACAGTGAACTCAGGCACGGTCAAAGGATCAGACCAAGAGCTCCTCATAGAACTGTGCTGTCTTCAGACTCATGAGATGAGAGACAATCTGGCTGCTGGGCCCTGAGTGCCCTGGGGGGCTCAGCAGCCCCTTCCCCAGCCCAGGCCTTTGGCTGTCTGTGCCCACAGCCAGCACAGAACACAGCACAGCCCGAGCACCTCCATCAGGGCAAAGAGCTGCAGGAGAAACCTCAATTTTTGGTCCTTGGCAAAGGCACCCTGCAGGGATGCCTGTGGACTTTGATGACTGCAACCCTCTGACCAGACTTCCCGGCCTGGCCTCAGATCTGCCTAATCCCTGCGGACTTGTCTGGCAATCACTGGACTCTAGGCTGACCCTGGTCACTGTCACCAGACGTGTTCTGTTGTCCTTGCTCAGGGACTGCAGTGCTCGTCAGTGCTCGACAGCTTCTGCCCTCTTGGCACCCTCACTTGGTTGCAGACTCACCTGCCTGCTGGAGCCATCAGCACTTACTGCACCCTCATACTGGCTTACTTCAAATTTTTCTGGAAAAGTAAACGAGACCCTGCACATCAGGATCTTAAATTAAACCTAAAAGCAAAATTAACTTCTATCAGTGTTTTTTAAAGAGGACATACAGAACAGTTCTAAGTAATTTTAGTTATTTATCTAATTTTTTTATGATGAGGGTGATGAGACACTGGAACAGGCTGCCCGGAAATGTTGTGTTCAAAGTCAGGCTGCACAAGGCTTTGAACAACATGGAGGCAGGTTGGACTAGATGATCTTTAAAGATCCCTTCCAACCCAAATCATTCTATGCATCTATGATCTTTCAGTTGCTTCAAGCAAAAACTACTCACTACCCACCCCAGAGGAACCATCAGCACCATGGGGATGTTTGCAGAGTTTCTGACCATCTTGCCAAACACACATGGGAAGCAGCACTGCTGTCTCAGTTTTTCAGTTCCTGAACTTAGACTGCAATTTTGACTACCAGTTGCATAGATCTTTGAGATCAATGGGAGATTTTTATCTGTGTGCCAAACCCAAAAGCTACCATTAAACTCATATTTTTCTCTGTGGCTAGCAACAGTAGGAATGAATGGTAGGTTGGAATTTATTTTACATTAAAAAAGCCACAAAACATGAGAAATTCCTTGAGAAATACTACTCTCCAAGATGCCCAAGCTAACTGAAAACTTACTTGTTTTCTTAATTCTGGCATTCAGAATGTTAACATAAAGACAATTTGTGAAGATCAGGAAAAGCTTTGAAACATTTTTTCATATTTCTCCACTTGATCAAAAACAACTGCATGTGTTTTGCCTATTTCATTAGCCTCTTTTCTTCCCTTTCAGAATAATAGTTCTGCTTGTTAAAGAACAAGCACCACTTTTACAGCTTCATGAAGAGATCAGATGGCCAATAACCGGAAAATAAGTGAATTGGTAGTTAGACATAAAAATGCTTTAATCCCTGGTAAAAAATTATATTTTATATTTATTTTGTAGAGAGAGAATTATGAATTATTTTTTCTTGACTTCCCCACATGCAATATTTGCCCCAAAAGCTAATATAGAGAATTTCTTTCAGCTACTACACTGTAAAGTTGGTTTTGTTGCTTCCGCTGTTTTTATGATTCATCTTTCTAGTCAGATATTGAATTTCCAATTGCATTGATACTTTACAAGGAAAGGTAGATTTAAAATATAGCAATATATAACAAGACTTGGAGAAGTTATGAAAAAAAAAGAAAAAACCCAGATCTTCAGGATGTGACAGGGCGATGGCTCTGGTGGATCTTTCTCAGTAAAGCATTGAACTTGCTTCCTTCTTTTTCAAATATCAAATGATGCAGAAAGATTAAAATAATTAAATATTGTTAGGTAAATCACACTTAATCATCTACATCTAATTTTGATGATCACTAGTCTCACCACATTCATTACTGAATAGACTTCATTCATACTTTAATGAAAAAGGCATTTTATTCTTTCTTGATTACTTCCATTCAAACTTGCAGTAAGAGTCCTGGATGCCCTTATCAGTAGTGCATGATGTGAAGAATCTTGCAAGGGATTTGTGATAGACAAGCTCTCCTGACTACAACCGTGGGAATAGGGAGCAGGTGTCCCCTCAGGATGTATTTTTCCTCTTCTTTCTCCAGGAAAAAAAGGCAAAGCACTTCCTCCCACGTCCACAGAATACCAGTGAACTAGGTTTTTTGTTCTTATATGTTCTGAAAGTTCATATAAGTTCTTATATGTAATGAAAGACTGGATTCAGGAACTGACTTAAAATGTAAGACATTAAATTCTCAGTCCCTTCAAGACTGCTCGCTGCCTACAGTAGTGTTCACAGTATTGGTCCTATAAATATCCTGCTGTCTTAAAGATATTTAGTGTTGGTATTCTAGAATATTTGACACCAAAGTTTAAAAAAGCTTTAGAACATTCCCTCTGAGTAATTGAGTAATAAAGTAGTAACTAACAGAATAACTAAGCGATGTGGTTTGGGTTTTTTTTTTCTACTGACACTATTCCTAGACAAAAATACCCCTTCTACATAAGTATCTACTTAAGTGCTGACCCACAATTCTGCAGCTACATCCGTCTTGCAAGACAGTGATATGTTCCACTGATAAGGTTGATGGCAGTTCTTTTGCCCAGTAGAAGTTAGTTAAGATGAAACTTACAGTCCATTTGATTGCAGATTGCTAAATTAACTTCTGTCTGAGCAAAAAAACACCAATAAATAGAAAAAAAACAAGAGAAGACTCTAGCAAAGTTGATCATTCTTAAGTTTATATTTAACAGATTAATTTAATGTGAATTTTGTGAACAAAGTTCAAATAGTCACTGACAGCATTTCAGGAAAAAGGAATGAAGCTAAATTGAATGCAGAATCAGAACCAGCAATTGTGGGACTTAGAAACATTAGAGTGCAGAACTCTGCCTATCACAGAAACTGAAATGCTAAATAGTCTCTGGACTTTTGGGGGATGACAATGCGACTCCTTTGACCTTTACACGATGCAAGTGTTGGAGTGCCTTGATGTAGCCAGTGCAGGTGAACAAAATCTAGTAGAAGCCATTAAGCATAACAACACAGTCACAGGTATGAAAACAGATTTGTTTTAACAGAGAACTATCACAAAAAAAATCTAAGTTCTCCTCAGAAAGAGTTCCAATAGTCTCTCGTGTTGTTAGACTTTGATAATCTAGAGGGTTTTGTGACTTGAAAATGCTCAAGAAGTAACACTTTAATGGATAAACACTGTAAGATTCCTGATAAGAACAAGTCAGTAAATCAGAGCAGCAGAAGTTGAATATTGATGATGACAGATTCCCAAGAAGGAAAACAAATTTTCAAAAGAGGAAAAAGAAAAGGATCAGTTTCAGTATGACAGCAATAAATTTTTTATCTTCTACACATTTGAGCCATCCTGCAAAACTGTGAAAGAGCTTGATCAAAGCTGCAAATTTAGCCAATTCTCAGGTGACTACACTCCAAATTAGTTTTTGAATAACAAGAAGACTTTGAAAACTCTAAACTGCTTAATTTTTATCAAACGAGTCAGATTCTGAGACAGAACATCTGCATTTGCCATGACCAGAAATTCCCAGATGATTCTTGGCTTCTAATATAGAAAGTCTGAGGGTAAAATGAAATGGAAGGAACCTGAAAAAAGCCAGTCCTTTAACAACTGCAGTAAGATACTCTCTTCCCACAACTCTAATCATAAAGCTGGAAGCCTAAACTTTACCCTTTCTTGTTTTGTAAGGACGTAAATTCTCCTTGCTCAGAGTATGAGAAGAAAACAAGAAACAACATTTTCAATGCTCTTGAATGTAGTTCAGATCTATGTAAATAAAACTTCAGCTATTTAGTCCAAATGAGGAGACCACGAAAATTAACTTCTTCAGGAAAAATAAGAATACTGAACAATTTTTATCATAGCTTCTCTTAACACTGCATTTGGTCTAACCATCTCAGAGAAACTTCGACATTTTAAAGACGAAATAATTATTTTAGACAGAAGCACCACTTACCAACAATAACAAATCCATCTGCTTCTCTCTCAGGCACTGTAACCTTCTTTGAATCTTGACTTTTTCGGAAGAAGCTGAACATAGTCTCTTGGGGGGTTTTTTGTCTTCTAAGATGCTACCTAAATGAAGATAAAATATGTTAAATAAATATAACAGAATTAATCATAAAACGTTCATACCATTCCAAAGGCCACATACCTGATATTATAGTTTAATCTTTATTATCGGATTTGAAATATCAGGCATTTGTATGTCAGACAGATCGCCTTGTTGATGCTGCAATTTACTTCAGTAGGCAAGAAGAGAGTGAAGTACAAAAGGCTTTTCTACAAAGTTAGGAGTGGAGTGGAATCATTAAAAAACCTGACAACTTTGACCTTACTAAAGGAAAATGGAAGAAGGAAACCCCCTTTAGCATTCATCCAGCATGTTTCCATATTTTTCTTCCACTTCTAATTGTTGTTACACAAACTTTCTCATCAGAGATAGTTCTAAAGCATCCAAAATTTTAAGCCCAAAACATGATATTATAGAAAATGCAAGCCTATAATGCAGGAATAATTGAATGACACAAATTGCACTAGATATTTTCAGTTGTAAATGTCTGTGCATCAATTAAAAAGAGCAACCACCCATCCCTACAATATTAGCGTAGTAACTGTTTTCATTTTCCCCAGTTGCAATCTTAAAGACAGCCTAACAGTTGTGTATATTTGATTAAGAGTTACCACTGATTCTCTAAAAAGAAACTACAAAAAAATAATTTTTTGCTAATTTTTTGCAACAATAATTCACTAAAAGAATACTCCAAAGCAACTAAGAATTCCATTGCTAGAACGAAACAAGGAACACATTGGGATAAAAACATGGACTGCAAAAGAAAATTCTCAGTATATCCTCTCTCTCAAGACTGGAAGACTACACAGAAGTAGTTCTGAGTAGCTTAAAAGGTACAAATTAATATTAAAAACCAATGAAGGGAGCTGTGGAGGTGCTCTCATCTCCAGCCCCCGAGGGCTGAAGTGGAATGCCTGGACAATGTCAACTATGGAGCAGTCTGTGGTCTGGCTGAAACACATTATGTGCTGGACACAAAGAGGAAGGTTTAAATAAAGGTATGTGAAGATCTTCTCTACTAATATACCCATATAAAATTCGGAAAAGTGGAATAATGTCGTTTCAGCTTTGAAGTAGAATTTGAGCAGAATCCTGGTTTATTTTGCAGACATCAACATGCTAAGAAGAAGGTACTGACAAACCAATAGCAACATCTAATATACACCTCCAACAGTGGGAAGGAGTCCAAGGTAAAGAATTAAAGAGGCATGCAGTGTACAGTTTCAGTAACATAATTTCACACTAAATGTAACAAAGAAGAATCTCTAGAAGGTAGAAAAGAGAGAAGAGTGCTACTATGAAATGTGTGGATTAAAAAAAAAAATAAAAGAAAGAGCGATAAAAATTCTGGATTAATTATTTGCTTGAATTCTTCACTCCCCATCTAAATATTCATGGTACCATAAATAAGACTTTTTTTGTCCTAGCCAGCGACCTGCAGCAATTAACTGCACAATCAGCACTGACTATTCATATAAACTACCTCAAACTCTGCTGTTACAATCAATAGCAAATAGTTCTATACTCCATAAAGTCCTATGTGAAGTGTAAGCACTGGCTTTCAGGAGCAGTGTATAAATAGATCATGGTAAAAGCAGCAACGATTCAAACTGTGGTCTGATACCTGAGACTTGCAGGCTGAATACCCCGCAGCCTGGCCAGCTACTGCTTGCTTATGCTGACACAGTGCAGTTTCTAGCAACCAAATGAACTACACTGATGTACACAAGAACAGAACAAACCATTCTGTGATCCAATCCCAGGTATATAGTAACTAAAAAAAAAAAATGTCACTTATCTGCACTTCATTCCCTTTTGCTTGTTTTCCTACCTCAGCAAGTGAAATACTGATATTTCCAGTTCCATGGAGATTACAGAGTAGAAACTCCTAATTATCTCATTTATTCCTTACCTTCCCCCACACCCAGGCTCAACACATGGCGCCAGCAGCATATTCCTTTTTCAGCCCTCAGGGAATAAGTCTTCTCCTGCTACCAATTAGGGTTGTCAGTCCCATAGCTCAAGTGGTAAAAACCTGTGCTGTAATGCTCAAGAGTCAGGTTTCTGCTCCAATGATGTATGAAGGAGAGGCAGTTGCGGAACAGTTTAAAATGCAATTTTACCTTCATTCTAAGTGTTCAACAACAAGAAGCAAAATCAACTAGATGAGTAAAATCTTACAGATAGCTTTGGTAATGGCTCAGATTCCAATCAGCCACTTCAGGTGCCAGAGCTGTAGTTGCTCCAATCACCTTTTTTTTCTCTTTTGAGATCTGGATTATTGTACAGTGTTCAGCTCTGTCACATAACGTTCCCCCTTCCCTTCTTTCTTGCACAAAGAAAAGCATCTTAATCAGTACATATGTGGCACAAAAGACTTGTATAGGGAACCGTGCACTTGTAGTCTTTTAAATCCTGCATACTTAACATACATAAACTTCACTGCTTAAAAGACAATACCCATTTAAATTAGCAATCAGGACAATTTGATCTAACCAAATTAATGTTACAAACACTCTCACATACTAGATTTTATCCTTTCATTTACAGGAGACAGCCTGAGTATCCTAACTTTTCCCGAACCCCACAAAATTCACTTTATACATGAGTGTTGATCTTTACTTTGTAATTTTCAGTTTCTGAAGTAGCTTTAGTTTAATTCCACTGCCATCAATATTTCTCTAACAGAAAACAAAACAAAACAAAACCCTAAAACCATATCAAAACCCACACATACTTTTGCTTGAAGCAGAAAACCAAACAAAGCTAACAAAAGTACTCCCTAAGCTCAGGCCTCAAGTGTTAAAACCACTGGCCCAGCACTAAGAAAACGGTACATGTTGTATTTTGTGATTGTGAATTTGGGGAGGAGGTACGGAATCCACATACTAAAAAGACTAATGTGAAGTTGTTTCTTTCTCGAGGTGTTCACCTCTTAGAAACAAAAGTTGTGCTTGTAGATCTCAGGTCTGTGTAACATATGTGAAGGAACTACCACTTCCAGCATTTCAGCAGCTTTGCTGAACACAATATTAAGTGTTATAAATAAACTAAATAATAAAGAATTACTAATAAAATAGAAGGAGGGCCCAGAAACAAAAATTAGAGCTGCATATGGTACAGCGTAGGTAAAGGAAAAGCTGTGGACAGGCAATGCTGGGGCATTTGCGATATTTGCTCTTTTAAGAATTTTATCAACTGTGGTACTTCAGAAGTAAACATAAATCTCTCCAGCAACGGGAAATGCAACCACTAAATTTCTTGAATTACATGTTAAAACAGAACAAAGCCCCTGTCCAACGAAGAAACACAGAGCTGAATGGAAACACTCGTGCTCTTTAAGATAAGAACACAGTTTAAGCACTTGCAGAGTGAGGCTGGAGTTTTACTACTTGTAGATAAGATGAGGTTTCAGGTAATGAAAGCTCAAAACAACCAGTTTCCATACAAGTTTCATTTCAGAGTAGAAATTAAATTTGAAGTCTGGGGACTTGGATGCATGGTCACACAGACTTGACGAAAAAAAAGCACTTAGTTGTGGGGTGTTTTTAAAAGCTGTCAGCACAAAATCACAGAAAATACACCCACCACTCAGAGATAGTACTACATTCCTGCAGTCATTTCTCCTATATAGCATAGCACTTTTCCCTTCCAGATGGGATTAATTTTATTTCTATAGGAGACCTGAAATTGAATTCACTGCCTAAAGATAAAAATCTCCCTTGGTAGGAATATATTATTCTCTTCTACTCATGTTTCCCCCTCCCCCCCAAAAAAAAGTGAACACAATCACTGATAGTTAAGAATAATGCTTTTGGCACCGCTTCAGTCATTAGCAAGTAATAAGCTGTGAACTAGAGCAATTCTGTGAGGCTGCAAAAAATATTTTGTCTTTCTGTGAGTCTCTGAGAACATATGTGGCACTGGACAAAGATGAGTTACAGAGCTGCACAAAGGGGTTAATTTATTCCTCCTGCATTTTGTCAGCCTCCTTTGACAAGAACTATGTGTGACCTTTGAGCCAAACCAATACATTAAATCCAATAAAATTTTTCAGTGCAATGAAGATCCTAGTATATTTAGCATTACTTTTCAGCCTTTCCTGAATGTTCACAATACTGGAGGGGAATCGTAATTTAATATTAAAAATACCAAAGATGCAGACTAAGATAAAGAGAGGATGCCCAGGACTACAGCAAAGCAGAACTGCAGTGGCACTGTCAGTAATTACATAAATGATGAAATGAGGACAGAATGAGATACAAAACTGACCCTAAAGAAAGAACCAGAATAATTTCACATCTAGCAGCTTAAGCTATATAATCTATGGAAGAAGGAAACAGAGCATCAGAGCAATTCTCACTTCCATGTTACCATCTGCTGTGATTCACCAATAAAGCAGCAATCAGAAAAAGAGCAAGATGTTTACAGCCCTGTACAGTCCTGCTTATCATGAAAACAACCAATTTAAGAGTCAAGAACATGCATGTTGAAAAGATTTCTCTGTGACACCAAAAGAACAGTTTAAAAGCTTTTGGCCTAATGTAAATTACTATGTGAAGAATAAGAAAAAAAAGACATATAATTTCTTTTCTCTTGCATTAACATTAGTCATAGTCCTTTTATTTGTATTTCTTGAAAACAGAAGAATGGAAACACAAATTCAAAAAAAATAGATATACATATAACGAAACATTAACAATTTTTTTGTACTACATAAAATGTTAATATTTATTTTTAAAGTTTTTATAAAATATAAGAAAAGTAGAAATACTAAGAACTATGCAACCCAAATTACCATAGTATAAAAACACTTGAAGAGGCTGCATCATAAAAAATCAGCCACAATCAAGTCAGACAATAAAAGCATAGGTGACAAAGGCAAAGCCAGGACTATTTGGTATTAAGTACATCAGTATTAAGAGTGATGCAAACATTCAAACTCCTGATAGAAAATGCTAAAAGAGAAAGCTAGGTGTTTATTAAACACAATACTCAGTAGGTTGAAACATACTTCTTTCCCTGCAAACAGTTCTCTTTTGACTGCAAACCTTCAGCACCTGCTAAATATGATACAGACACAAATTAGTAAGATCGTGTACAGCATTTTTCTAGCAGCTGACCCTTCAAATCTTTCGGCCCTAGAAGAGCCACTGTGCACCAGCCTGCTGCATCTTGCTCCAATAGCTACATTTATGAGACTTCTCAAGACTCTGAAGATATGCTAAGGAGATGAGGATATTCTTTTGCAAGTAAAATACTGAAAAGGTGAATGGCATAGTGACGCTGAGAAGATGACAACCAGCTAAATGTCCTCAAAGATATAACTCTGAGCACTCCCCAGTCACATGCTGGTTCTGCACAGCTTCTGGCAGTAACTTGTTTCCTTGGCAAGCTGACCAAAGCTACTGCCATATAACAACACTAACCCAGCCAACTAACAAAACCCACTTTGCACTGGTTAGCAATATGAACTGACCTGTGGGCGGCTAGGAGAGACAGTCGGCACGTGAGCGGTGTTGTGACTGCCCTTTTAAGCCAGAGCAGAGTTAGATTTTCCCAAGTATTTCCTGAAACACCAGTCCTGGAAATGGAAAGAAAATCACAGAACCACAGAATGACTGCAGTTGGAAGGGACCTCCAGAGGCCACCTTGTCCAACCCTCTGCTAAAGCCCTTCTTAGGGCTGATTGTCCAGGATCATGTCCAGATGGCTTTTGACTATCTGCAAGGATGGAAAGCCCACAACCTCTTGGGGCAACCTGTACCAGTGCTTAGTCACTCTGACAGTGACAAAAGTGTTCCCTGATGTTCAGGGGGAACCTCTCGTGTTTCAATTTGTGCCCATTGCCTCAGGTCCTGTTACTGGGCATGACTGAAAAGCGATTGTCTCCATCCTCTTTGCACCCTCCTTTCAGGTATGTACATTCATTAGTAAGAGCCCCCTGAGCATTCTCTTCTCTAGGCTAAGCAGTCCTAGCTCTCTCAGCCTTTCCTCATATGTAAGGTGCTCCAGTCCCTTAATCACTGCTGTGACCCTTCTTTGGCCTCACTCCAGTAAGTCCACGTGCCCTCTTGTACCCAGCACTCCAGGCATGGCCCCACCAGGGCTGAGTAGAGGGAAAGTAGCAGTTCCCTCTACCTGCTGACAACACTATGTCAAATGCAGACCAGGATATCATAGTCACCTTTGCCCCAAGACCAATTGGAAGGAACCTCTCCACACAAGGGACAGACAGGGAGAACACATGGAAAAAGGCAAGATGTGTGGTAAGTGCCACATCCAGATGCCAGCTCTGTCTTACATCAGTTGCTCTAACCCTGGGGATTGAGCATAAGCTCTTTAATAGTGAAACAAAATGAAATTAACAGAACAGAAGAGCTCAGTTGGAAGGGACCTGCAATGATCATCTGGTCCAACTGCCTGACCAGATCAGGGAGGATCAAAAGCTAATGCATGTTATTAAGGGCATTGTCTAAATGCCTCTTAAGCAGTGACAGGCTCAGGGCATTGACCACCTCTCCAGGAAGCATGTTCCAGTGTTCCCTCTTAGTAAAGAAATGTGTCCTAATGTCCTGTCTAAACCTCTCCTGGTGCAGCTTTGAATCATTCCCATATATCCATAGCTCTGAGCAACCTGGTCTAGTGGAAGGTGTCCCTGCCCACAGCAGGGCGATTGGAACTACTTGATCTTTAAGGTCCCTTCCAATCC